GAGTAGAATCTCCATAGTTGACCACCTCCCTACACTGACCACCTCCTTAAATTGAGACCTAATTTTCGTAGACTGGACATCCCCCACATGTAGGCATTAGTACAGTAGGCCTAGTTCCTTATGTTGACCACCTCTGTATGTATGGGGTTTTTTTTTTCTTTTTTTTTTAGGAGACACAGTCTTACATTATGGCCCTCTGTAGAGTACTGTAGCATCACATCTCACAGCAACCTCCAGCTTCTGGGCTTAGGCGATTCTCTTGCCTCAGCCTCCCAAGTAGCTAGAATCACTAGCGCCTGCCACAATGCCCAGCTTTTTTGTTGCAGTTTGGCCAGGACCAGGTTCAAACCTTTCACCTCAGTATATGGGGCTAGCGCCCTACCCACTGAGCCACAGGCACTGCCCACCTCTGTATGTTGTTAACCATTTTGTTACAGTCCCTTGGGTGGTCAATTTATAGTTCTACTATACTTTATGTCTATAAAATAGGATAGCAGGCTATGTCATGTTCCTGTAATCCCAGTTATTTGGGAGACTGAGGCAGGAAGATTGCTTAAGCCCAAAACTTCAAGTCTAGCCTGGGCAACATAGCGAGATCCCATCTCAATAAACAGTGTCTACTCCTTCCATCCTCACCCTATTCCTCTGTCTTGTATTCAGATTCTTTTTTTTTTTTTGAGACAGAGCCTCAAGCTGTCCCCTTGGGTAGAGTGCCATGGCATCAAAGCTCACAGCAACCTCCAACTCCTGGGCTCAAGCAAGTCTCCTGCTTCCGCCTCCCAAGTAACTGGGACTACAGGCGCCCGCCACAACACCCAGCTATTTTTTTTTATTTTGGCTGTCATTGTTGTTTGGTGGGCCTGGGCTGGATTCAAACCTGCCCCTTTAGGTGTATGTGGCTGGCGCCTTAGCCACTTGAGCCACAGGTGCCAAGCCCAGATTCTTGACATTGTGAACATCAGCTATAGCATTGTACAGCCATTTACCTAGATTGGAGATGCCTCAGTAAGCAGCTTACATAGCCAGAATCGTCTGCTTTTAATACAAACACACTAAAAAGTAACTAATTTGGATAATTTCATAATGTTTATCAAATGTTCTTTAAGAGAAAATTGATTTACTGTCATAAAATACTAGAATCTTTATTTTTAGCACATTTCATTTCTTTCTTTCCTGATTATATTCCCTTCTTTTGGGGGGGGGTGGGAGGGACAGAGTTTTACTATGTCACCCTTGGTAGAGTGTCATGGTGTCACAGCTTACAGCAACCTCAAACTCCTGGGCTCAAGCAATTCTCTTGCCTCATCCTCCCACGGGGGCCCAATTTTTGTTGTTGTCATTGTTGTTTAGCAGGCCTGGGCCGGGTTCGAACTCACCGGCCCCAATGCATGTGGCCAGCGCCCTAAGCACTGAGCTACAGGCACCAAGCTACATTCCCTTCTTAAATAACTATTTCATATTTTCCTCCTAAATACTATACTTTGTGATTTGGAAAATCAAAGTTATATAGAAGTATTTCATAAAATAGGGCAAGAAGCATGTCTTGTTTCTCTCACACATCCCCTATGTCTAGCATTGTATCTGGAACATAATAAATGTTTCTGAAAAGAAAGATTTTCTGGCTCGGCGCCTGTGGCTCAAGTGGCTAAGGCGCCAGCCACATACACCTAAGGTGGCGGGTTCAAATCCAGCCTGGGCCCGCCAAAAGCAACAATGACGGCTGCAACCAAAAAAAT